CACGACTCGTCAAACGGCATGGTGCGGCAGTCTGGTGCCGACAGGCATGTGTCATAGCTGTAGAAAGCTGCAGCAGATCCGCCGAACCCAGGCATTGCCAGCCTGCTCGAACAGCCTTCCCCGACGAAGCACCATGGGAGCTGACACCAGTTGAATTGCGAATGACACCAGTCAGCGTTGTTCGTGCAGTATGCTGATCCCGGGGTTTCCGGCATCTGGTCCCATGCTGCGCAGGTAGTGCCGTAGATGCTGATGTAGGTCAAGTTTGCAAACCTGCCCGGATGGTCGTCCGGATAGTGCAAATACAATTCCCACGGCAGCTCAACACCTTGAAACATGCACTCGCATCCTTGACCCTTGTGCACAGAGAAGGTACCATCACCACTCGGATCGTAGGGGCAGCGGAGATCGCCAGCGAAGTTATTATAACAATCTGGAGCATTCCCGCACGCATCATAGCTGTAGTGAAGCACATCCGAGCCGTTAAACACCGCTGAGGCAACAGCAGATGCACAGTCTGCACTCACATAGCACCACGGTACTTGGCACCAGTTGTGTTCTGCTGTGGAAAAGTCAGACGCCCCACTGCACATTCCTGCCATCGGGGTAGAAGGAACAGAGTCCCACGCCGCACATGACGTTCCGTAAATGGCGACATTCGCGAGCTGTGCATATTTACCGGGCTCATCCATGGGATAGTTCAGGTAAACTTGTGGCGGGAGCATCTCCCCTTGATACATGCACTGGCATACGTCTGACCACCCATTGGGACAATCTGCTGCAGTTGCCCAATGCTGCACATCGGCATGATCAAAGGGACACGACTCGTCAAACGGCATGGTGCGGCAGTCTGGTGCCGACAGGCATGTGTCATAGCTGTAGAAAGCTGCAGCAGATCCGCCGAACCCAGGCATTGCCAGCCTGCTCGAACAGCCTTCCCCGACGAAGCACCATGGGAGCTGACACCAGTTGAATTGCGAATGACACCAGTCAGCGTTGTTCGTGCAGTATGCTGATCCCGGGGTTTCCGGCATCTGGTCCCATGCTGCGCAGGTAGTGCCGTAGATGCTGATGTAGGTCAAGTTCCTTGGAGCACAGAAAACGGCACAAAGCAGCAGTAAAGTAAGCCAGTAAAAACAGAAGCCGAAGACTACGACAACCGCAGCACCGTGACATACCGTGACTGCCGCCTTTACTCACCACCTCCAACGCACCACGACGCCCACCACTAACGCTACACCATGAGCAAGCAAAACCGGGGGCACAACTGGCGGGTGATTACCACAGCAAGCCACAACTACGACAGTTCAACTGGACGCTGCGCAGCAAGGCCTGAGCTTGAAACGTGCAGCGCCTTAGAAGCCTTAGCCAACGCCTCCAAATAGTTGAGACGTGTTGAGACGTGCCGTATACCAAGGATTACCAAGGCCGCCCACAAACTTGAAAGACGTCCGGTGCCTTGTGGCCGGCACCGCTTACTGAAGCCAGATCTGCCAACAGACCCAGAAAAGGAGAACGGGCTGCGCGAAGCATGAGGCAAAGCAATAAACGCATCAGCTGAGGCCTGACTGGGCACGGCGGCATTCTGTGCATTGCCGCTGTGCTGCACAAGCACTCGCTTCAGAAGAGGAGCCTGCCGGTAGGGGCGACTACATCTGGCATGGACCCGGCGGCGCCCAGCGGCACAGCCAAACGACATCTGGGGTGGCACCAAAACCAGGCCGCCCCCCCAGGAAATTTGCATGGAACCCCCGCTTTGCAAAGTCTGCAAGTGATTCACACACGGCACGGCTCCATGTCGCAGCTGGGTACAGTCAGAGAGCGGACTCGCGGGTTTCGGCTATGGCCCTGGTAGCTGTGGTCGCTACCGTTCTGCTGCCGGCAGGGCCAGCAGTGCTAGGAGTGACGGCTTTTATCTTGTGCCTGAGCAGTGGCATCTCTGCAAAGGCCCCTGGTGTTTAGACTTTATACACTCTTCTGCAAGTGGGGCCTCGTCCAGGAATCATTTAAGCTTTGCAAACACTCAAAACAAGCGATATGTCGTTGCGTGCATCTTTGCTCTAGAGCTTGATACCAGCTTCAAAGCCAAAGGTTCACCTGAGACCTGAGACGAGGGCTAGTTGATCCATAAAGTATAGAAGAAAGGAAAAATGCAGCTTGAAGCCACCCAGTCCACATGGCTCCGCGAAGAAACCGTCACGCTATGCAATCGCAGAAGGGGCTGACGTAGCTGAACGCCTAGGGGCCTAGCTGTAGGACTGGTCTCTGATGTCGACGGCAAGACCCCTTGCGGTGGATGCGTCGTCTGCTTTTTCGCAAGTAGACTTCCAGAAAAAAGTCAAGTCCAGGAAGACAAGAATGGTTCTCTTCAGCCCGGGGAAGGTGAACACCCTAGAACTTGCCACCAAGAGCTCGAACAGGACAGCGGCTCAGCAACGGCTCATGCAGGACGCGAAACGTGTACTCTTCGAGAAGAGAACACGTTTAAGACTGCTTCAGGCTCCTGTCGGGCGTAGTGGCTACCAGATGCTATCATGCACAAAGACAACCACGGCGACAACACCAACGACGACGAGGGTGCCGACCGCCACCACCACCCTCGCAAGCACCGCTACAACGAAGGCCAAGACCAGTGCCATCCACGAGGACGACCACAACAAAGCAACGAAGAACACCAGCCCATACCGCCGCCGTCACCACCGCCGCAGCAGCCGCAACAGCGACGGCGACGACGACAGCGACAGCAACAACAACAAAGCATGAATACAAACAAGAACAACAGGAACAACCCCACTGTAATAATGTCACTTTGCCGGTCAAGGTTCTCGTGCATGCCTGGATGGTGCAAAGGAAACTCAGTGTACACACCCTGCGGCAGATTTGCACCGTGGTACAGGCACTCGCAGCCATTTCCTTTATGCACGGCGTAGGATTCTGTGCCAGACGGATCGTATGGACAGCGCGGCTGGTCCATGTGGTTATAGCAATCCGGCGCCTGCCCACACACGTCGTAGCTGTAATACAGATCGGAGCCATTGAATATTCTTGATGTAATCTTGCTGCTGCACTGGCTGCTCACATAGCACCTCAGTCCAGCTTCGCTTTCGGATCAATCACTCTCAAAATCACCCGCGGTCGAACAGTCTCAAGTGCGGGCAGGCTACCAAGGCAGCTGGCACCAGCTGTACAAAGGGCTGGACCAGTTGCTGTTCTCAGAACAATTTCCTGGTGTGGCGGGAAAGAGGTACCCAGAAGCGCTTGAGCGCGACATAAGTGCGGCTGGGAAGCCGTAGTGCGGTGTTCCTGGAACGAAGTCCCAGGCAGCACAGCTTGTGCCGTATACACCAATGTTCGGGAAGTCTCCATACCTGTACAACTCGCACATGCTCTGAAGGCCGTCTCGTTTGTGTCGACATGTCTTCCTCTGGTGGCCGAGCCACATTCCGGGACTCTCATCGGGATACTGGGAGATCACATCTGACGGCAGTAGGTGCCCCTGATATGCGCAGCTGCCTCGGCACCGAGTATCGATTCGGACTCTGCTGCTGCGCAGAAGCCACTGCACATGCCCTGAGCCCTGCACAGCGATCCTCCACCATGAAGCCTGCCACATGGTTCTGACCGTAAGCCTCGGCTACAGTAAAGAGTTGTCCTCTTTCATGTGTGACCGATCCGGTCTGAAGGGCGGGTTGGTCTGTCTGTCTCTGTCAGTCTCTGTCAGTCTCTGTCCGTCTCTGTCTCTCTCTCTCTCTCTCGCTCTCTTTCGCCAGGACTGTGGTGGGAGTTGCCTCTCTCTCTGTCCATGAACGTCCTGCATCTTGCGCATTGGTCGGCGCGAAACTTATCGGCTGGACTCGCCCCGACACCGGGGCCCAGCTGCAACTCTCTTTCTTTCTGCAGGGCATAGGGGTCGCAAGTTTGCGACCCTCAGGCCATAGGCCCGCCCCGCCACCCTTTGTTCTATGGAGTGGGAGGCATTGGGGTCATAATGACTGTCTCTCTCTCTCTCGTCCGTTCCCTCCGTCCGTCTGTCCGTCCGTCTGCCTGTCGGTCTGCCTGTCTGTCTGTCTGCCTGCCTGTCTGTCTCCTTCTGTCTCTCTATATTTCTCTTGCCTGTCTGTCTGCCTGTCTTGCTTGCTCGCTCTGTCTCCCCCTCCCTCCCGGGCATGGGAGATGGTCAAATCCGATGACAGCGCACAACGAACGCACGCTCTCAAGGGCATGGACTTTCGATAAAAATGCTTGTACATGGCACCTTTGTAAGACAGTACCTGTCAATAAAGGGTGAACAAGACACAAACATGCTAAATCTGTCCTGACGCTACAAATCTACGCCTGTCGGTCCTCTTCTTCCGCACAGCCGAAGAGGAGGGCAGGCCCCCCTCTTGCACGCGAGCACGCACTGAACGTCGGTCCTCTCTCTGTCTTTCTCTTTTCCCGGTCTGTCTGCTTGAGAGCCGTGGTCCTGTAACCGAGCGGCCTTCTGGGTCTGAGCACTCAGTGTCAAGCTCCACGTGTTCTGTTCTGGGTTCGTCCGCGGGGCCTTCACCTGGAATTGAAAAGCGAAGCCGGAAGAGCTGTTCGCATCACCTGAGGCCTCCAAGTGCAAGTAATATCTCAGTTGCCGCTTGTCGAACCCTTCCTGGCAAGAGATCTCCGATGCTGGCACGAGCATCTCGCCGCTGCATTCAGGAAAAAAAGTTGTGTTGGCTTCAGCATACCCGCAGGAACCACCAATGCTTCGAAAGCCTTCTGGCATGTACAGGCGTAAAGTCGGCTGCTCGAGAATCTCGTCTTCAACTTCGAAGCTGAGGCAGACGACGTGAGGCGTCAACCTGTCCTCGCTCATGGCAAAGAGTGCAGCACGAAGGAAGGGCTCGGTGGATGTGCTGGTTGTGGAGATAAGGGAGAACCCCGGCAGAGTTTCTGCATTGATCATGGAAAGTCCTCAGTTCGAAACGTAAGTCGCATCCCAGCAAAGACATGTCTTCACCGTCTTAAGAGTTGGACAGCAGGACACTGCCTGCCCTGCGAAAAGGTCTTGCTACGTATGACATGACGGGAGACCGTTTTCGATGAAGTGCACGGTCCACTCGTTCTCCTGCGTTGAATGTGCTCGTGCAGTATCCGCTGCAGCAATCCACAACTCACAAAGATGCGGAAGGATCACACATCTCGCAGGCAAGTTGCCGATGTTTGCAGTGGATGGGCCGAAGAGACATACAGTACAAATGCATAATCCCAAGTGTCTCTCAGAATCCCAGTGATGAACCTCGGCTCGATGCTGTCTTCACAGGACTTTTCAGTAACTCAGAAGCACGAAAAATGAAAGCTAAGCAGCTCGAACCAGCATCCGGTTTCGTTCTTTCTCAAGGCCACTTGAGCTCCAGCAGGTAGGCACCGGGTTTCTGCACAGGAGCGGGGGCGGCAGAGGAGGTATCAGTCTCATGTGGGTCTCTTCTCGTAGCCTTCCTGGCTTCAAGGCGTTGCTTCCTCTAACGACACCTAACCTCTTCTGTGTTTCACCCCCACCCCCCTGTTCTGTTGTCTTGTCTTATCGACTGCAGCTTGGGGATTCTTTAGGTTGGCTGGAGTGCTCCCTCAACAAACTTCAACAAACCTTGGAGCGCGAGCCTAATTAATTCTGCGTCTTCTGCAGCACCCGAGCTCAAGCAGCCGTGGATAACCCGTCACCCTAGCAGATTCAAGTTTGTTCACCCGGCCTACCAGCTCGGGGAAGAGGCCCACGTCCATGCACCTCCATCAATGGAAGCTGGGGCTCGCAGTCTAATCCGCGTTTTCGCGTTCGCTGTTGAGCTGAGGAAGCGGCTCCAGGAAACCGGTGTTTGGAGCGTCGAATGCCTGGGCTTGAGCGAATTCCGTTTAGTCCCGATTGCCATATGGCAGCGAATTAAGGTACAGACCCAGTTCGGTGGACAACGGCCTGGAGGTAGATGCACCTGCGTATCATGCACTACTTTGTAAGCTCCTCCAGGACACAGATGCAAACGCGTGCCTTCATCAAGCAGACTGTATCACCCCAGATGCCACTGCCAACCCAGTCGGCGCCGCCACAATCACGGCTCGTCTTGAACTCCATGGCGACAGCGTAGTCGTTGTCCAGCAAACGAACAGTTTTGTCTGCACGAGCCTTAACGATTCCGGGCGATGTGCAAGTAGGACTGACACAGCAGTTCTGGGCAACAGAGCAGATGGTACAACAATCATGCCGACAAGCCACATACTGCGTCGGACGTACAATTGGAGAGTTATCCACTTCGAACCCAGACACATCATCTTGGTGGTGTGTAAGGTGCTTCTCGAGTTCTCCACCTTTCGCGCTCTGTTTGATTCTATTTGCGCACATGATGACTCCATCTGGCCGAACAAGGACCAGGCTTGACCTCCGAAATGCAAACTCCCTGCCTTGTGCATCAACGCTCCACAGCTGCAAGGCCCAGTTGTTGTCTGCAGGTGTTTGGGACGGGTTCACCAACGTAAACCTTGCACCGTCATGGCCACCAAACAGGAAACAGCTCGAGAAAACTACAGTAACAGCAACGGTTAATCCCCCATTCCTGCAGGATCCAAGGTGCTGGAAAGCATACGACGTGAAATCCATCAAGTCGCTCGGGGGCAAAAGAAGTGTAATGTGCGTCTGCATGGATGTCTGGTTCAGCCTCGTGTTCTGTAGGAGCCCCAACTTGCTAGCAGAGGACGGCAGCCTGTTTCGCTAACCCTTCTGACAACACAACGGTCTGACGAGGCACTGCATTGTACAGGCAGTCAAAGGATCGAGGCCATGCTCGTGACCTGCCAGAAGACTTGAGCAGGCTGATCAGGGCAGGCTTCCCTAAACCAGCTCTTACATCAGCCTGTCAGGAACGCGAAGAGCTCAGGCTGTACGAGCTTCGGCTTCCCAGCTCCTTGGTAGCAGGGCTTTGGCAACCAGTGCCTACTTCACGTCCTAAAACCTTCGCGACATACACTCCCTGTTTTCCATTGAGTTCACCAAGGTTCCCCTCTGAAAGGCTCTTCCGCAGAACTCCGATTCCGGTAGAAAACCAGGAGGTGGGTAAATGTGGATTTCGCAACCATACGGCGACAGACACGCCCGGTTTCGCAATCTGAATCCGGCGCAGATGTCGTTGATCGAGTCTGCATCCACCGAGCTGGGAACGAAAGCAGCTGCTTCAAACAGTTCGAACACTTGTACTGGGCCAGAAGATATGTTGCTCACATTCGCAGGCGGCTCCAGTGCGTAGCCATCAACTGTCTGACCGTGAATCATCTGGCCGGTCCCATCGACAGTGGCAAAGCGCCATTTGTTGATGCTCTCGGGCTCGTATGCGCTCGTAGTGTTGCTTTCGTTCTCACCATAATTGCTCATATTGGTCATGTTTGTTTCATTTGTTACATTCTCAACAAGTGGAGGTGGAAGCGGATAGTACTCGGCTGCCTTTGCGGCGACGGGATTCTGCAAGTCGAACTGGAATGCGTAGAGGACGCCGGAGATCAGTCGCTCTCCAGCCAGGTCCTGAGTCTTCGTCGCTTATGTTATCAATTCAGTGCTCCATACTGAGACGATCCGAGTGCTGCCTGCAGCGCCTTTAATCTCAACCGCTGCCCAGCCGCGATTTTCAACACAGCCCTGCCCTCGTCATCCGAAGCAGGCATAGCCTCTGATCCTCCAGCTGTGGCTCCAGAACACTTGCAGACATCAAAGCAAAGAGCAAGAAGACTGCAGTCAGACCTGAAGGCAATGCCGTCACGTCTTCTGTGGCATTCGTGAGGAGGATCAGCGGGAAAAGGACAGGATCTGCTGAAATGTAAAATGGTCTGTGGAAGCGGTCATATCCTGTCGCAGGGCGGTTCAACAATGGCACTGAATCTAGGTACTTCACTGAATTTGCTGCATTCTCACTCTGGCAGGTCCTTCGTCCGGATCTGGAAGCTCGAAATAAGGAGGCAGATGTAAACTGATCTCGCCACCATAGAGGTCCGAGGACAATCGAAAAAGTATACATATTGGACCAACTTCATAAGGTTGTAGCACCTTATAGTACGATGTGACACCATGCCTTCGGGTCTTCCACTCTGGGCCGCTGCCTAATGGTCCAATCACTCTGGCCTGAGCACAAACATAGAAAAAAGACCCTTTCATCGAAAGTCGTGCCAGGCACGCTGGGGAAAAGTTGCAAAGTTAAGTTGGCAAGTGTTGTGGTGGTCGAAGTGGTGGGCACGGCTGAAGCATTGGCAGCGGTTTCGAAGGTCCTTCGAAAGCAGGACATGATGTTTGCTTCATGTTGCTTCGCCAGCTTGAGGCTCGAAACCCTCTGCCAGCCGCTTTGCAAAAGCCTAAGTGTGAACTCGGCAGCCTCCAAAGACCGCCATCTAGACCAACAAGGCTCCAAGGAGGAAATTCGTCGGCAGCCTTGGCAGATTTTGATTTTAGGTGCTAGCATCCGCTTGCACCCGTGCTGCTTGCACAGCCTTTCAATGTCAATGTGGAACTCTCCAGCTTGCTCCAAGCTGCATCGTCCACTTCGAGATGAAGTTGGAATGCGTAACCTGGGCTCAACAATACTTGCGCCACGAACCCACGCTGGGGCTGACCCCCTGTTGCATCCTGTTACACGCGACCGCGACTGCACCCACAACAACGACCAAGCAGCGCTCGTTGCTGAGCAGCCTCACAGACCGGAGAGCATGCTGCACAACGAAAACATGCTTTCCGTACATGTTTATACGGATATGCATGTTGTTTGCGATGACATTCATAACCCGCGTACACCACCATCCTTTAAGCTCCTTACCCAGGGCATCATCCAAAAGCCATAAACGAAAGCATCAAACAAACGACGTGAATGCACCACAATGCACCTCCACAACACCTGAATCACAGCGAACAACGGGCACTGAGTGCTACAATGGCGTTCAGGTTTTGCAGCCGCTTCCTATGCACGGCATGCTGCTAGCTTGCGAACACGCGATACACACGAAGTCAGCGTTGCAAGCGAGAGGCTCTGGAACAGTCAGGCTGAAAAGGCAATCTTCCTGGACGGGACAATGCAAGCACCCTGTTGCACGTGACCCTGGACAAATGGCCTCCCTTCAAACTGAACCTATCTCTCAGCATCAGTTCATGCAACTTCCGGCCTTCGTTTTGATGTTGCAGTCCATTGGCTGAGGGCTGCCAGTAGCAGTAGTCAGCGGACCGTCCAGCCAAAGGAAGCAATTGGACATTGGCTGCATCACGGAGAAGCCGTAGCAATCATCTCCTGAGATGCACATCACTTGTTCTGCAGTCTCTCGCCGTCTCACTCTCCCCTCCCTGCTCAGCCTCCCTCAGCATTTGTTGGGGCCCACCAGCACCAGTGCACGGCGTATGCTGACTAAAGTCGTCCATCCAACTCCTGTCACTCCTGTGGTGCAACACTGAACTCTGCCAAGCATCTCTGGCTGCACGTCATCTGGCAGTGAGCTTGGCTGGAGGCAGGAAAATAAAGGAACTCTCCGGGACTCATTGTGGCGCTGGTGACGCATGTCCCGTTGTGATTGGTGTACATCACCTCCTCGCGCCAGGTCTGTGTCTCTATCGTTCGACATCCATTGAAACAAGTGTGCGCAACGCGAGCACTCCTTTATGTGATGAGCATGAAAAACAGAAGTCAAACAGGATGTGTTGCCATCTGATGCCTTGGTAAGCTCGTGCTGAGAGGTACAAAGCTCCCTGCAACAAGCACTTCGGCCACTCTGGCAAACCGCGTGTTCATCCAGACTGCATCGCTTGCATTCAGGCCGAACAGCATCCAGTCAGGACAAAGGCCTCAGGTGGGATCTCTGCCAAGATTTGATCCAGAAGCGTGCTCGAAGCAGATCCCGCCAGGTGGCTGAAAGATGAGGTAGCAGTCTCGCCGAATGCCGCCCCCTTTCCGCAAATGCCTTCACATGCCAAACCAGGGAGACTGGGAAGAGGAGTAAGCACACGTGCACAGTCCATCGTTTTAAGGGTCAAGGGAGGGTCTTGTTGCGGGCGGGCACCTGGTGGCAGGTGCACTTGGAGCTGGCACGGCAGTGGGCCGAAGACGTGAGAAGCGAACCACTCGCCACCGCAGGCGGCAGTAAGCTTCAACCTGTTGAACTCGAAGACAAGGTTGCATCGAAAAGGGAAGTCCGTTTTGTGCAGTCAGGACACGAGATGGCTGCTGCCAGTTCGCCGTTGTGTGCATGTGCAGGTCCGTAAACCATGGCTTCCGCAGTGCTGAGGTTGTTCGACGACGCGTTGACTATGTCAAACCTCGCGCGCATTCTCAGTGCATTCGAAGTCTTCTTGACAGCAATTGCCGAGCTGTACTTGTGGAAGACCCCATGACATCGAAGATGGCTGCTGCCAGGGCTCCCGGTGACATTCTTTGCAAACAACAAGTTTCCAGATGAATTGTATGTGTGAAATTGCCAGTGGTTGTTATCCTCGGAAGACATGCCAGTCTGCAACACTGCAAGCAACAGTGGTCAAACCAGACTGTGCAGCATGCTAGTGGAGCATGACCGTACCCGTTCTACTTGTGCTTAACTACTCGACTTGGTGTGGTTGTGCGGCTTCTGCTCTTCTTTGGAGAGGCCACAGAATGGTTCGGAGAGAGAGCAAGGGAGCTGGCACCCCTGGCACCGAGTATCGTGGAGACGGCATTGGTCAAAGCATGGCAGGTCAAGGATCCTTCGACTCCCTGGCTCTTAGAGCAAATTTGGAAGCTCTACTTCTTGGGCTCCTGGGTCGTTTCTGTTGCTCCTCGGAGGGTCTGCGGACTGCTTGAAGTTGAGCAGAGGCTGTTTACAAACCTCATGTCCCGTGTCTGTCACCTGCGACTCGGGAGCAAGGTGGTGTCTGTTGCACTGGCACTTGCACTCGTTCAGTGCCCAAGGCTCAGCTGCAAATGCAGGGCTCATAACCTTAGAAAGTCGCACGAAGCCCGTGGCTGACAAGCAGTTGTAACAGCTCTTCCTTAATTTGCAGCCAGATCACAGAAAACTGAAATATGTAGGTTTCATTGGCCTCCAAGCCCTGTAGTGCGAAACTGAGAAAGTCCACATCGGACGTGTTGTCACGGCCGGCAGTGCACATTGACGCATTGCTGAGCATTTGCTCAAAGCCGCTTAGGAAGGGGAAGATATTCCTCAGCTCAGGACAAGCTAGTGCTGCACCACTCCAAGCCAAACATGTTACATGGCCACTCTGCCGAGAGTGGCGGGTCAGCTTTGTAGCCCGCTGCTCCCCTCGAAGACTCCCATGCCTCTCCGCAGCCAGAGTCTTGGGCTGAAAACCTCGAGGCAATTTCTCCAGCTTCTACTGCTACTTACTCGTGTGCACCGAAGTGTCCCATCCCCTTTGTCGGCCAAGACGCCCAGTAGGCATGAGTATCTGCAGTTGGCACCTTGGCTGTTGAGCCCTGAGCCACTTACATTTGCGAACAAAGCGGTCCACCTGCTGCACATCTACAACTCAATCATAACCAGGAATCCGAGGCTGAGACACAAGCTTATGTAGAAATAGAAAAAATGAACCATGGAATCTGCGCTATGCTTCTTTGATTCAGGAAGCGATCCAGTGCTGAATCTTCTGCATCTACTGTGCAGCTTGTTCCTCAATCCTCACCCTTGATAAGCAAGCCTTGACGATAACTGGTCGGGTGGAAAGAATTACAGCGTCAAGTCAAGCAGTTCTGCTAACGTTGGTTAGTTTCAAGCCTGACGGGCTGTCGGGCCTAATGCATACACCTATGGAGCGATGAGGGGGGATGCCAGAAGTGAGCTTGTTCCAGAACCTGCTCAGAGAGGATTGCCAAACACGGAGATTGGGCTGAACCAAGGTCCAAAACTACGTGGTCTTTAAATCGTCCTACTCCGCTTTCCGCAGCTTTGCTTTGCAAACACCGGCAGATATGATTGCGAAGTGCCTGGATGTTTAACCTTTCACAGGGATCACGGAGGGATCTGAGTTGTGATTTCTGGCAAGGACTGCGGAGTCCATATTCCGAACATTATGCGAGGAAGTGCATCCAAAAGACAAGACGTCAGCATGAACATCTACTCATTTACAGACGGCTTCGTGTGCATATGGATCGGTGCTTCTGAGCGTGTCGAACGTCCAGAAGAAACAAGCAAGGACTTAAAGGTGCTTAACCGGAGTTATAGACGATGTGCATGCGGAATTCGAGTTGGTGAATTATTTCTCCACGCACACACAACACTCTCAGACAGACACACACACACACAGCTTGGATGGC